GTAGGAAGTGAAAAAGGGTGGGAGGGCAAAGGAGGGAGGAAAAGAGAAAGGGGAGGAGAGACAGAGGAGGGGAGAGAGGGAAGGAGGGAAAGAAGGAAAAACATAGGCTGAAAGCTACTTTTACATTTTTAGGATTTTAATTTTAACCTGTCTCTTGTATTCAAAAAGCCATTGCATATAGGTCCTCCCAACTGTTTACCTTATCATCATGGGAAATAAAAATAAATTAATTAATTGAGGCCGGAATTATTTCCAAAATGGATTTTCAGGAGTGGGATGGAGGTCCTACATGAAAGGAAAATCCTATAACACCTCTTTGCATGTAGGCTTTACATGAATTTTCAGAATTTCCTAAGACATGGAATACATTAAAGTCAAGACACAAAATAAAATAGTTTTCTGAATAACAAAGCCAGTCCATTTGATTCTTCATTCACTTCAACATATATGTAATGAGAACCAACAATGTGCTTTCACATAAAACACCAAGAGAAGAATAAAGTGGGTAGATGAGAGGTCCAGAAATGCAGATAAATTCCTGCATGGAGCTCAGGCCTGACTTGTTTACTGTAGCAGCATTATCTCACACTCAATTCTAATAATCCCCTATAGTCATGTATCATCTAAACATTAACTTTGCTAATAATTATACATCATCTATCTAACATATCCAACCCAACTATAACCATATGATTTCAACCCACTCCCAGAAAAATATTCATGCTTGGTGCCCTCTTAGAACTCATAAACATGATGGCTGCCTACCTACAATTCCATTTCCACCAAATAAAAAAGATCACCATATAAAAATAATTGACTTCCTAAAGATCATTTCTTCTTCACAGGCCTCATTGCTCTGTCTCATTTATGAAAAAATTCCTTAATTATGTTATACATCAGAGAAGATAAACTAGCGATATAACAAAATCAGCACAACTAGCTTAGAAATATACATCCCTAAGTTTTAAAAGACAAAAGCTATATTTTCTTTGATCCTAAATATTTCCTGAAGTATATTTTTAATGAATAAAAATCCTGTTCTAGAATATGGCTGGATGTGGATCCAAATGCAGATATTAAAATGAAAAAATTTTATTTCTGGATACTTACACTGATTTTCAGAAAAGACTTAATACTTTGCAAAATAAGGCCTTTTATAACAGGCAATCCATTGGATAAATTTAGTAGATGCTTGAAACTCATTTCAATTAATGTCAAAGAGGCTGTTTCTCCATTACGTGGCATACACAATATGCAATCATTTCATTCATTCTTTCATTCAAAAATACAATTAAGCTTTTTCTAAATGCCATGAATTGTGCTTGGGGCTTGGGATAAAACTAAACAAAACAGACAAGTGATCGCCTGCATAGAGCTTAAACTGTATGAGGGCTGCTGTCTATAACAGATTTGAAATGAAAAGATTGATAATGATTTCACAGAGAAGACTAGGGAAGACTAATACTGACATAATGTGAGTCTCCCAGGGATGTCCACAATCAAATTCCCAGAACCTGTGAATATGTTGCCTTCCATGGCAAGAGGGATTTTGCAGATGTAATTAAGGTTAAGGGCCTTCAGATGGGATGATTATCCTGGATAATGTGGGTGGGTCCCACTATTCACATGAGTGCTAAAAATCAGAGAATCTTTCTAAGGCATGATCAGAGAAAGAAATGTGAGGTTGGAAGCAGGGTCAGAGAAATATGACCTTGCTGGCTTAGAAGATGGAGGCAGAGGGCCAAGAGCCAAGGAATGAGGGTGACCTCTACAAACTGGAAAAGGCAAAAATAATGGACTCTTCCCTAGAGACTGCAGAAAATAATGTGTTCCTCCAACACTCTGATTTTTAATCCAGTAGGCCCAGGCCAGACTTTTGATTACAGAGCTGAGAGACAGAAATTTGTGTGGTTTTCTATTGCACGAAGTGTGTGGCAATTTGTTACAGCAGCAATAGAAAACTAACCAAACATATATACATATGTATCCACTCATATAAATTTAACAGGACAGTATATATTAGGGCAAAGATACGTAATCAATACTGTTAAATAGTTGTATGTTTTGTCCATTATAGACCCATCTGGTCTCATTCCTTACTAACATGACAAGATGTTGAATTTACTGAATGTTGAGATTCAATTTTAAAAAATGATCAAGACTTGCTAATCTGTTTAAGGAAGCGAATTTATTTAGACTCAGAGGAGTCATATGGTTGTGTGGACTGAGCCTGAGTCAAACATAAGCTGCATTCATTTCTCACTGCTGAACTGCTATGCTGGACTCAACAGACTGGCAAAATTTAAGCCAAGTCCTGAAGCCCCCTTCACCTAAAGGATTAACAGGTTTTGATGAATTAATCACTTTAAATTTTTGTGCTTATCATCAAGCATTTACTCCATCAACACAGCTCAATTACAAAAGCTACTGACTGATCTAAGAAACAACTGGGCCCACCAAAGGAGATACAGTATTCCTTAAAATAGGAAGATGGGGATTTAAGTACCGGAGCCATCCCAAGTCTTTGAACAAACTCTGAGAAAGGTTTGAGTTCAGCTAGTTCCAGAAAAAAATGCATTCTGTTTCATTGACACTGATACAACAGCTATAAAGAAGCATTATTTGTGATAGAAACCAGGAGTGAAAGTAAACTTGGGCATGAGATCTGTAATACACTCCACAGTTTTCCAGGTTGGTTCCTGCTATTTAATTCCAATATTCATTAGCTCAGTCCAATTTTACCAGTTTAAGAAAACCATAAAATCACCACTATTTTGATGTGATATGTGTTTATTATATACAGGGCCGACTTCAGAGGCCTGCTACTGCACACAGGATCCCAATTTTAGGCAGGGGTCCCAGGCTTAGGTGTTTATGCTCTGCTACCACAGTCTTGAAATTTTTAACAATTTAACCTTTGAATCTTTGTAGTCCAGTGTGGCAATGAACTGCATGCCCTGGCTCATACGCAGCCCTGCCTCCAAGTGACTTCCTGGGATAGGTTCTCAGCCACCTGCTCTCCCACCCAGTGATTACTGCTGCCCTCTATTTCTTGCAGGGGTCTTGGCACAGCCTGGGGTGGATCAGCGTCATTTGAAAGAGCCATAGATACCTGTGAGGGTCTGTGGTCACTTTATAAGTACCTCTATACTCTAGAAATCTAACATTAAATAAAAATAACCTTTCGTAGGTCATGAGAGACTATGTAAGAAAGTTACAGCTCCTTTCCCCTGCTTTTTGAACAAGAAGCCTCACATTTTCATTTTGCACTAGGCCCCCACAAATTACATAGAAAATCCTATATCTGTTTATATCTATAAAGAATGAAATAACTTTATATTTTACATAAATTGAACTTATAATTTTATAATTTCTAGATAAACTAAATGTATATATAATGTTACTATATTTTATCTATAAAGATGAGAATAATAATTATAATAGTTTATAGATCAGGGGAGAAGGCATTTCAATACAGTATTATCTTCTGTGTTTTTTCATTTTTTCTGATGAATTACCTTGAAAAATCTTTAAGAATATATTATATGCTAAAAATGGGGATATTCTAGCTTCAGGCATTCTAGCAGGACATGTCATTATTAAAATTTTCTTATTAAGGAAAATACCTTACAACTTTGATTTACTGACAGGCGAGAGATTTCTGGTCAGGAGCCAAAGTCATCAAATATTAAGAGTTTGAAGGTACATCAAATGTGTTGAAGGGTCCTCAAAATGCACCAAATAATTATAGTGCATTTCAATTATTCACACAAAGTACTTATATTGAACAATCTCAAAAATCTTAAATTCATACCTGAAAAGTCAGATGCTTTGTAACTAATAATTCTCAAAACATACCTACATGAATCTTGAATTATTCTATTTATAAAAATGCAGATGAACAAAATATTCCTATTACAACTTTCCTTTTGTTTATCTCTATTATTTAAGAAATCTCCACAATCAATATATAATTGACAATATATCGATATTTTTCTCTTTGCTTATAAATGTTACCAGAACTTGAGGGGAACAATAGTTACAGATATTCCACAGATGGAGATATACATATTACATATATATATATATATATATATATATATATATATATAAAATGAAACACAACAGACCTTGAAATAAGTATTTTGCCCTAAATTTAGACATTTCCAATATTTCTGAGTGATAGCTAAAATTCCAAACAAAAACTAGACACTGTCACATTTGTAAAAGGTTAAGAGCTGCCAAAACTGCATGGGTGCCTCTAATCCCAGCACTTTGGGAGGCCAATGTGGGAAGATTGCTTCAGCCCAGGAGTTCGAGACCAGTCTTGGCATTATGGCAAAGCTCCATCTCTACAAAAACTACAAAAATTAACTTGGCATGGTGGCACACCTGTAGTCCAAGCTACTTGAGAGTCTGAGGTAAACGGATCACGTGAGCCCAGGAGTTCAAGGCTGACATTAGCTGTGATGACCCAACTACACTTGAGCCTGGGCAACAGAGCAAGACACTGTTTCCATAAAACAACAACAACAACAACAAAACATAACCAGCAAGGGCTCTCTACACACCTTCAAACATAGCTCATGATCCCTGTAACGTCGCTTTCATTGAATACTGACTTCTAACTTCCAATAGCCTTTCATTATTCATAACTTAGGCCTGAGCAATCTGCCCCTCTATCTTCTTTACATCTCTCAAATTGATGTGCAACTCTAATTTCCTTTCTCCAATCCTGATTCCCTTCTTCAGCTAATATTAAGATACTTCCACAAACAAAACAATCACCTGTAAATACCCCTGTGGCTCTGATTTCATCCCTAGAAACAGGCTGTTGTTCCCTGTAAATAAACAAGTAGAACTCACTCGGAAAACCAATCCATGTAAAATCACATACTCATTTGTAATTTATCCTATTTTGTACACGGAAAGTATCTCGGCATATATTCAAAGTACAAGGGAAGAGGGGCTAGGGATAGAAGGGCAAACCAGTCACCTACATTGTTCATGTACTCCGAAAGCAGATCCTGAAGAGCCTGGCGAATGGCATTGCATTCAGCGATAATCCGCTCCCGGTGGAAGTCCCTCGTGCATGAAGAGTCTGCCAGCAGAGCAGCCCCACTGATAATGGTTTCAAGCCGTTTCTCTAGTGATGGTCTTATTTCCTCCTCAGTCACTGTGAGTGGATTCAGGACAATTAAACTCTAAGGGAAGAACACATTTGTATGGTTAGAACTCCATGGCATTCCACTTTTATGAAAAGCAAATGTTATTTTGTTTTCACGTTTAGAATTCAGATACGATAATAAAGAGAACTTTTTACTGCCTCAATTGGTTTACACATAATGCTATGTAGTGATTATTATTCTGATAAATAATGAAAGTGATGCAATTATGAGAATTTGCTCTAGCTTCAGACCAACCTGGATTCAAATCTTACCATTCTCCCTCAGGCAGCTGTCTTACATTTGATGAGCCTCAACCTCTTGATCTATGAAAGCAGAGTATTAATACTGCCTATGTCGCTAGACTGCTATAAGAATAAAATAAATGCTTAATACACTGACTGACACATGTTAACTGTTACTTACAATAGTAACTTTTACAGACTGTACTCTTTATGCAATATTTTCATGTACCTCATCCTGAGAGCACCATGAGGAGGTGGACAGCAAGGTATTAATAACCACACTTTTCAGCTGATGATGAGTGAGGCTGAAAAGCCGTCTTGCCCAAGGTCATAGAGCAAATAAATAATGATGTTTGGACAAGTATTTAGGTCTTTCAATACCCAATTTAATATTATTTTCATTATGCTTCACTTTATATCATAAACTCTAGTTAACTTTAACACTAACATATCAAAGTAAATTCTGAATTTTAATTATTTAACTTAAAATGTAAAACTGCTTCTTCCTGTTCATCTATTACTACTTCCAGCTATTTCCAGCTATTAGAACCTGACATGGTATTTTTAAGGTTTCAGTTAGACATGTCTTTAGGTAATAGGAGTCAGGATAATCTACAAGCTCTTAAGAAAAGATGAAGGGTATGCTGTTCCAAGGGTCTTTTTCCAAGAGAGGAAGTCTTTCCAAGATTAGGCATAAGGTGAGAATTGAAGAAAGAGATAATGTAGAATAAAAGCTCTCTGAAGAACCCTTAACATAAAATGAAATGACATAATGATTTTCAGAGTGTGAAAGTCTGAGTGTGAATCTACACATAAACCCACAGTGAAGATATTATATCTTCATAGTATATAATCTTATGTATAAGATTATAGATATGTATATGTATTTTATATAGAGGTGTGTATGTATGTAAATAAATAAGTATATGTGTGTGTTTATATATAAAATCTTATACTTATCATTGTGTTACATTACATTCTGATAAATATTTGGGGATTGAAAGTAGACAGGATCCAATTTTAAAAGCCACAACTATAGAATCAAGCTAGGAAGAGAAAATTATTATAGAAAAAGAAATAATTTTTAAATGATTAAAAAATACTGTGTAATATTCTCTTACTTTAAAATATGAGGGGGATTCCAAAAAGTTCATGGAAAAATGGAGTTAAAATATAAAAATAAAAAATATAAACTTTATTTCCCAACAAAGCTCCATTGTCCAAGAAATTTTTGCAAGCCATGTTACCAGCCATTTAGTCCAACTCTAAAGAACTGAAGGTTATGGGAATTTATGTCTATACACTTTTTTACATTATTAAGTGAAGAAAAACAGGTGTCCTTTACAATTTTTTTATGATTAGGAAACAAAAAGGAGTCAGAAGGAGCCAAATCAGGACTGTAACATAGATGCCTAATAATTTCCCATGTAAACTCTTGCAAAATTGCTCTGTTTAATAAGAGCAAAGAGCAGGAGTAGTATTGTGGTGGAGAAGGACTTTCTGGTGAAGCTTTCCTGGGTATTGTTCTGCTAAAGCTTTGGCCAACTTTCTTAAAACACTCTTTTAATAAGTAGCTATCATTCTTTGGCCTTCCAGACAGTTAATAAAAAAAATGTCTTGAGAATCCCCAAACACTATTGCCATAACCTTTGCTCCTGATTGGCTCAATTTGGCTTTGACTCATTAATTCCACCTCTTGGTAGCCATTGCTTTTATTGTGCTTTGTCTTAGGGATCGTACTGGTAAAGCCATGTTCTATCTCCTTTTACAATTCGTTGGAGAAAGGCTTCAGGACCTTGATGTCAATTATTTAAAAAATTTCTATGGAAAGCTCTGATCTTATCTGCTGTTGATCCAGGAGCAACAATTTTGGGACTTACCAAGTGGAAAATTTGCTCAACTTTATTTTTTTAGTCAGAACTGTGTAAGCTAAACCAATTGAGATAACTATGGTGTTGGTTATTGGTTGTGCTATTAATCGTCAGTCCTTTCCATGAAGACATGAACAAGATTAATTTTTTTACTCACAAATTGATGTGGATGGTCTGCTTCCTTGAGCTTCACCTTTGACATCATCTCATCCCTAACTAAAATGACTTATCTACTTATAAACCACTGATTTCTGGGCATTGTCCCTATAAGCCTTTTATAAAGCATTGATGATTTCACTATTCTTCTACTCAATCTTCACCATTTGACGTTTGTTCCTGCTTCATTTTTCTCAGAATTCACATTGCTGATACAGGTTCTTCAAACTGATGTTTTATCTTTCTTAGTGCCTCAGACTAAATCCCACTCAGACATGTTAAAACAAGTTAGTGTGAGTTTATTTTGGTGGAAAAAATTGTTGAAATCATGCGTAGTTTTTTTATAAAACACATTCTTCATGAACTTTTTAAAGGTCCCTTAACAATGTAAAATGTAAACTAGAATACAGATCTGATACAAAATTGGTTAAATATCTTAAAAGCATGCAGAATTCTTCCTTTCCTAACTCTTTTCTTCCTATTTTTCTATTCCTCTATTGAGTCTCTTCATTTTTGTTTTACATGGTCAAAATACTTTTTTAAAAAAACAAGAAAGGAAATTAATTGTACAAAATGCAAATTTAACTTTTTTTTCTTTACCCAGTACATATTATTTTTGATGAAGCCCCAATTGCTACCATGGGCTTGGCCATCAGTTAAAGCTTCATTTATCTAAGTCTTCATCCTTATTTCGTTTGCCACTTTGACCACATATTTCCTTGGCTGACTCATTTAGTACAAACTTTCTACTTCAATGTTTCATAACAAAAATTAAATCATTTGAAACCTTTTTGGAAATGTACCTCCAATGTGACATTATTAAGAAAAGACTATGCGGGCAATAGAATTACTCGTTAATTGCTTTAATGCAATTAGAAGATATGATAAAAACAGGGAATATGCTCCTGCATTGTGATGACAGGAAAAGCTGGTTACATTTCAAATCTGTTCCTTGTAAGTACTGCAAGAAAAAACTGCTGTAATTTTAAGTGTTCTGGCTGTGATTGCATGTTAGCAAATAGCCTATATTGTAGAATTAGGTTGACTCTAGTTTCTGCTCCACAGGGTCACTCCTCAAACTATCTCAGTATTTGGAATTTTACATGCTTGACTTTTAAGATGTCCAATTCTTCAAGCTCATCTGAACTTAAACCATTGTCTATTCTGACATCAGATACCTACAGACAGGGCTCTTGATTTTGCCTAAAGCAATTGTCCTACTATTCCATCCTATAAAAGTTTTCACTAACTTTGTCAAAAAATCAATAAAAAGGCAAGAATTTTTTTAAAGTAAATTGAATATCCTGTGAAATGGCAGTGGATTTGTTTAAGACCAACTGAAATAAATTTTTACATCCTCTGATCTACCATAGCTATGTTAAAACATTATTTCATGATGGCCAGTCCTGGTGTCTGAGTGATTCCCAGGGCCCAGCAAAGGGACCAAGTCTCCAGAGCCCTGAAGACAAGGGGTAACACACCAAAATATGGACTCATTTTCCACTCCACCTTCATTGGCCGAGCAGCTGCCAAGAACAAGGGCCGCATCTCCCGATACCTGGCAAACAAATGCAGTATTGCCTCACGAATCGATTGCTTCTCTGAGGTGCCCACGAGTGTATTTGGGGAGAAACTTCGAGAACAAGTTGAAGAGCGACTGTCGTTCTATGAGACTGGAGAGATTCCACGAAAGAATCTGGATGTCATGAAGGAAGCAATGGTTGAGGCAGAGGAAGCGGCTGCTGAGATTACTAGGAAGCTGGAGAAACAGGAGAAGAAACGCTTAAAGAAGGAAAAGAAACGGCTGGCTGCACTTGCCCTCGCATCTTCAGAAAACAGCAGTAGTACTCCAGAGGAGTGTGAGGAGGCAAGTGAAAAACCCAAAAAGAAGAAGAAAAAACAAAAGCCCCAGGAGGTTCCTCAGGAGAATGGAATGGAAGACCCTTCTACTTCTTTCTCTAAACCCAAGAAAAAGAAATCTTTTTCCAAGGAGGAGTTGATGAGTAGTGATCCTGAAGAAACCACTGGCAGCCCCAGTCTTCCCAAGAGGAAGAAATCATCACCCAAGGAGGAAAATGACCCGGAAGAGGCAGGCAACAGAAGTGTCTCCAAGAAAAAGAGGAAATTCTCCAAAGAGGAGCCAGTCAGCAGTGGACCTGAAGAGGCTACTAGCAGCAAGAGCAGCTCCAAGAAGAAGAAAAAGTTCCGTAAAGAAGCCCAGGAAGATTAGAATGCAAATGGACATTCTCTGGGAGGCGGGGCGTACCATAGCCCAAGGTGACATTCCCCACCCTGTGTCCTGTTCCCCAATAAAAACAAACTCACAAAAAAAAAAAAAAAAAAAAAAACATTATTTCAGTAAATTTTCATGGCACTAATTACATGGAAGACAAACAATAGGATGCTGTTTTTTAGGATGCTGCTCCATTGGAATAGAAAATATTTTTTTTCTTTTTTAAAGTTCCATTCAATGTACATTTACCACTTTAATACTTTGCTGACAGAACAATATTTTTTTTTAATGTAAGAGTCCCAACTCCATATTCTTCTATTGGATTGCTTTGTTTAAAAGAGTAAGTAGGTAGATCCAAGATGACCAAATAGGAATAGCTCTAGAGTGCAGTTCCCAGCAAGAACAATGCAGAGAGTGACAGATCACCGCATTTCCAAATGAGTTTTCACTGCCCACAGACCAGGAAATTCCCGGGCTGAAAAGCACCACAAATTTGCAGCACAGATATTTCAGCCGGTGCCCCAGGTTGGCGCA